GACGCAGGGCCTGGCCCCCCCGGTGGGTTTCAGGTCGCATTCCACGCGTGGGATGGCGGCCTCTACGGCCCTTCTCTGGGGGGCGTCGGTCGAGGACGTTTGCCGTGCGGCTTCTTGGGCGTCGTCCTCCTCTTTCGTCCGGTCTTATCTTTCGGATGTGTCGGACCGGTCGGTGGCCCATTCCGTGCTGAGTGCAGCGGATTGAGTTAGACCGTTGGGTCCCTCCCCTTAGGGGGGGCCTTCGGTCTAATTTCCGCCCTGGTGCAGGAGCTCTTGGGAGAGGCATCCTACAGGTGCGGTACATTGTGTGTGTGGTCGGTCTGGTAGTCCTCGTCAGGAGCTCTTGGGAGAGGCGTCCTGTGACTACGTATGACCTACGGCTTGTGTTACGTGGGGGTATCCTTGGTAGGAGTGGCCCCGTAACACGCTTGTTCTTCTGCCCTGAGTCCTCTCACGTTGTGAGGGTCTTTCTCGGGCGGAGCTCCAATCACCCTTCGCTGGCCTGCTGGGAGTACATTTTCCTACGGCCTCCGCGTTGTGTCCCACTAGCGAAGTCCTAAGGGACGTAGCACCATGACGTAGAATTAATAGTTACTTAATGTAACTTAAGTTCTACGAATAGGTGCGTAGTCCCTTAGCTACGAGCCCATCAGGCCAGCCCGGCTTGGCAGAGTTCAAGAGGGGGTGCGGCCTTGTGCAGGGGCATTTATAGAGGAAGGTGGCTGGTGATTGGAGCAAATTATTTGATCTCTCTGGCGCGTGACCTGGGGGTCACGAGTGATATCCCACTAGCGAAGTCCTAAGGGACTACGCACCTATTCGTAGAACTTAAGTTACATTAAGTAACTATTAAATACATGAGGTATTGCTTTGGAGTGGGGTTGAGCAGGATGAGGGGTTCGGGCAGATTACAAGGTCCCAGAGAACAGTGTCGTGTTGAGAGGTGAGTGAGAGGTGACTTGTGATTGTCTAAATGCAATGTCCATGAAGTGTTACAGGAGTAATTCTTTGTGTTTGAGTTCGATGGAGAGGTTATACTATACTATACTATACTATACTGTACTGTACTGTACTATACTATACTATACTGTCTATACTGTCCATTTGCGATGCCAACAGCCTGCCTACTATATACTGAATGTGGCAAGACTAGGTCTGGTGGTCTGTGCTGAGGGCATTGTTACTCGCCGCCTTGCGGCGCTGAGCTGGTGAACTATTTAAGCGCTCCCATCCCATGTCACTCCCTGTTTGCCCGCACTTCCCACTGGGCCGTGTGACTCTGCTCCTCTCCAGTCCTAGGTAAAGTCCCAAATGCGTGGCTCCAAATTGCATACATCTCCCCATTTCTTACAATATTGTCCTTTTAGCGCTGCTGTATGACTGCAGCCTCACACCGCCTGTTTGCATGGCTTGATTTTGTGTGTCGCGCCGGGGCATGCTGCCTCATCTGCTGTGACTGGTAATACTCCTCTCCCCATTCATTCATTCACAAAAATCTAACTACTGCTCTCCTAGTCCCCGATGGTGATTGGCCTTGTCTGTGCTGGGCATTGTTGGGCATCACTGTGTCCGTTCAATTGGGGCAACAGGTATAATTTTATTTATTTATTGATTAAGACAGCCTTTAAATCCCGCTGTCTCCTCATAGTGCTGCTGCAGGATTGGCAGCTGGTGTCCGCGGCTTGGGCCAGCCCGTGCCCTGCCCCGCCCCCCTGCTACATTTGCTTGTACAGTACGTAACTTTCTGTGTGCGCTCTCCAGTCTATCACAGCGGTAGGTGCGCGCCTCAGTCACACCTACCACATTTAATAGCAGATTAATTATTATTATTAATTCCCAGGTGTCAGCGGCGGTCTGCAGCGTTGGGACACGTCTCCTCTGCTGCTTTGCTCCCCCCCCCCCGTTTTACCATCCCCGTTTCCATTCACTGTAACATTGTGTTTTTGTTTTGTGCTGCTGCTTCCCTCTGACTCGTTCTGCCCCCACCTCCTCTGTGGCCCCGCTTCCATCCAGCGGTCGGTGCTCCAGCCGCGCTCTGCGCGCTTGGCTCACTCGGAGTTGGCTCACTAGTGCCCCCCGAGCCGCAGAGCCAATGCTCGGGCGGGGCAGCCACAGGCTCAGCTCATGTTAAAAAGGGAATCGCCGACGTACCCAAGTTAATTGCAAATTGCCCACACGTTGATGTAAACATGGCAGGGGTCACTGTGTCATGTTTGGTCGATACTGGGTCAATGGTAACTACTGTAACCGAAAGTTTTTTTCGGAGGCATTTTGAGCCATGGGGGGAGGATCGCCTCAAGGCCTGTCATTGGCTCCAGCTTAGAGCAGCCAACGGCCTCGACATTCCCTACATTGGCTTTTTGGAAATTACTGTGGAGCTCTGTTGCAAAGTAATCCCCCAATGCGACGTGTTAATAGTTCGCGACCCCCGGGTGGTGTCTCTTCCCAAACTCCTGGAGTCTTGGGGATGAACATCTTGCGTAAATGCTACCAGGAGTTTTTCGGGCAGTTCGGGCCTGCCTTATTCGATACGGCTCCTGTGGTGACCTCTCCTAGTGAGCTGGTCGATGCACTTCAACAGTGCCATGCTGCAGGAATGAAGCAGCTTCCACGGCAACCTGGTAGTGTCAAGGTACGGGGGGGAGGCTCTATTCGCATACCCGGGGGTACTATAAAAATTGTTGCTGCCACCTGTTCGCAGCAGTACTCTGGTACCACAGTGTTGTTTGAACCATTGGAGTCTGGGCTACCAGCAGGACTGCTGGCATCACCAGCTCTGGTTCAAGTGGTCCGGGGTACTGCCTACATCCCTATTGTCAATGTTTGTGACACTGATGTGCTGCTTTATCCTCGTACCCTTGTAGGGACGCTGGACGCTGTCAATGTGGTGAGCCTTCCGGCAGGGGTGATGGAAGTCCCATCCGTGGCTGCGAGTGCCTCCTCACAAACTGCTGCCGCTACAGCTGCGGACCCCTTCGCAGCAATTGACCTGCCCTCCCTGTCCCCAGAGGAGCAAGGAGAGGTACGGTCATTACTTAGGAAATACACATCTGTCTTTGCTGCACATGATCATGATTTGGGCTGTACAAATCTGATCTCCCACGACATCCCCCTCATGGATGATGTCCCGGTCCGACAGCGCTACCGCCGTATTCCTCCATCGGAGTATGAGTTGGTAAAGGAGCATATCCATCAGCTCTTAGAGGCACAGATAATCAGAGAGAGTTCCAGCCCATATGCTTCACCCATTGTCCTTGTCCGGAAAAAGGATGGCAGCATCCGTCTGTGCGTTGACTACCGTCAGCTCAACCTCAAGACCCGAAAGGATGCTTTTCCGCTACCACGAATCGAAGAGTCGCTCGACGCATTGACGGGGGCCCGCTGGTTTTCCACTATGGACCTGGCCAGCGGGTACAACCAAGTCCCTGTGGCGGAGAGTGACCGGCAAAAAACAGCCTTCTGTACGCCCTTCGGTTTGTTTGAGTGGAATCGCATGCCTTTTGGGCTCTGCAATGCCCCCAGCACCTTTCAACGCTTGATGCAAAGAGTCTTTGGAGACCAGCAATGCCAGTCTCTCCTACTTTACCTGGACGATATTGTTGTGTTTTCGTCCACGGTTCTGCAACATCTCGAGAGGCTGGACGTGGTGCTGGGGAGGTTGCAGAAAGAAGGGCTCAAAGCTAAGTTGAGCAAGTGCCGTTTCTTCCAGCGGGAGGTGCACTACCTGGGCCATGTGATCTCGGATCAGGGGGTAGCAACGGACCCTGGCAAGATAGAGGTAGTAGCCAACTGGCCTACACCATCGACAGGAACGGAACTACGTTCCTTCCTGGGATTTGCCAGCTACTACCGACGTTTTGTCGAGGGTTTCGCCAAGCTAGCTGCTCCCCTACACCGTCGAGGTGCTGAGCTTACTGGAAAACGGTCCAGGAAACGGCCTGTCCAGAGTGATGCTGGACCCTGGACCACAGAATGCCAGCAGAGCTTTGATGATTTAAAAGCTAAGCTCTCCACGGCCCCGGTGCTTGCCTATGCTGACTTCTCCCTCCCATTTATTCTGGAGGTTGACGCGAGTCATGCTGGATTGGGGGCAGTGCTCTCCCAGGAGCAGGAAGGGAAGGTTTGGCCGATTGCGTACGCCAGTCGTGGGTTGCGCCCGACTGAGCGTAACATGTCCAACTATAGCTCTATGAAGCTTGAGTTGTTGGCCCTTAAGTGGGCCCTGACCGAGAAGTTCCGGGAGTACCTTCTAGGCCATAGGTGCGTGGTCTATACAGATAACAACCCCCTGAGCCATCTCGCTTCAGCCAAACTGGGAGCTGTTGAGCAGCGCTGGGCCGCCCAGTTGGGTTCCTTTGATTTTGAGTTGAGGTACTAATCAGGTAAAAGCAACCGAAATGCAGACGCCCTGTCTCGTTTGCCTGGACCCACCATAACAGAAGGGGTACCAGGTATGTGTGTGCCTGAACAGCTTGTTGCTGCACGGGCAATGCAGTCTGTAATGACTGCTTTGCCTCATATTGCCCCTGCTGACCTCCATGAGCTTCAGCAGTCAGACCCCACTCTACAGGAGCTCCTCTTTTTCTGGCAACAGAATCGACAGCCCACTCGTGAAGAGAGGCGGGCCCTGTCTGCATCCGCTGTCTTGGTGCTAGCCCAGTGGGGCCGCCTGGTGGAGTTAGAGGGGCTGCTGTATCGGCAGGTGTTTCGTCCTGATGGAGGTGGGTCTGTGTACCAACTCCTGCTGCCCCGTGCCCTGGTACGGAATGTCCTTACCCAGGTCCATCAAGAACATGGACACCAAGGCATAGAGAGGACCCTGGCCCTGTTGCGCTCCCGGTGCTATTGGCCAGGTATGTCTCGTGAGGTTGCGGAATGGTGTCAGGCTTGCGAGAGATGTCAGCACGCAAAAGACAACCAACCTGTCGCTCATGCCTTCATGGGCCACTTACTGGCTTCAAGGCCAAATGAAATCCTTGCAGTGGATTTCACCCTTTTAGAGCCGACCCAAGCGGGTGTGGAGAACGTGCTTATCCTGACCGATGTGTTCAGCAAGTACACACTGGCCGTCCCCACTCACGATCAGCGCGCCTCCACTGTGGCGCAGGTCCTGGTTTCAGAGTGGTTTGCAAAGTTTGGGGTGCCAGCTCGCATCCACTCTGACCAGGGCCGCAACTTTGAAAGCACGTTGATCCAGCAGTTGTGTGGCTTGTATGGGGTCACAAAGTCTCGCACCACCCCGTACCACCCTGCTGGTAACGGGCAGTGCGAACGCTTCAATCGCACTCTTCACAACATGCTTCGGGTCCTGCCTGCATCCCGTAAGAGGGACTGGGCTGATTGCTTGCCTCAGGTGCTCTATGCCTACAACACCACTCCTCACCAGTCGACAGGGGAATCTCCCTTCTTTTTGATGTTTGGGCAAGAACCGCGGCTTCCCATCAACTTCTTGTTGGGTAGAGTTCCAGACCCCGTAGGAGGGAGTGTTCATGAGTGGGTACAAGAGCACCAGGCCCGTCTCCAGACGGCCTTTGAGGGTGCAAGGGAAAGATTACGCCTTGCTGCCGCACGCAGGAAGGCTAATCATGACCAGCGTGTCAGAGATGTACCGCTGAGTGAGGGTCAGCTCGTACTGCTGCGCGACCACACTACCAAGGGCCGGCGTAAGACCCAGGACTTATGGGGCCCAGTCACCCATATTGTCCTGCAAGGCCCAAGGGATGGTGGTCCAGTGTACACTGTGGCTCCAGTCGATCAACAGTCCCGAGTGAAGAGGGTACACCGGTCCCAGTTGAAGGCTTTGCTTGGCAGTGACCACGCTAGCGCGGCCCCGGTGGAGAGTCCCCGAATTGTACGTACTCCTCCAGTTGAAGAGGGACAGTTCATGGATGGTGATCTGTTCTTGCAACCACCAGCCATGGAAATTCCCGGGACTGCCTCCCGGGCTCCGGTCCATCCAGGACCAGGGACCTCACAGCCACCAGCGACTCCCCCCGCTCACACAATGAACCAGCAGTCGCCTATACTAGAGCCTGCTACTAATTCCAGCCTAGAGGAGGCTCTGGTACGCCGGTCCACTAGGTCTACAGCAGGACGGTATAAAAATCCCCACAATCTCCCAAGGTCTACGGCTGAACCCTCACCTAGGGAGCCTGCAGCGTCTTCCAGATCAGTGTTTGCCATGCATAGGCCGTGGTGCTAGAGTGCGTCGCTTCATCGTCGGGGCGCCGATGCAAGTTGGGGGGGTAGAATGTGGCAAGACTAGGTCTGGTGGTCTGTGCTGAGGGCATTGTTACTTGCCGCCTTGCGGCGCTGAGCTGGTGAACTATTTAAGCGCTCCCATCCCATGTCACTCCCTGTTTGCCCGCACTTCCCACTGGGCCGTGTGACTCTGCTCCTCTCCAGTCCTAGGTAAAGTCCCAAATGCGTGGCTCCAAATTGCATACATCTCCCCATTTCTTACAATATTGTCCTTTTAGCGCTGCTGTATGACTGCAGCCTCACACCGCCTGTTTGCATGGCTTGATTTTGTGTGTCGCGCCGGGGCATGCTGCCTCATCTGCTGTGACTGGTAATACTCCTCTCCCCATTCATTCATTCACAAAAATCTAACTACTGCTCTCCTAGTCCCCGATGGTGATTGGCCTTGTCTGTGCTGGGCATTGTTGGGCATCACTGTGTCCGTTCAATTGGGGCAACAGGTATAATTGTATTTATTTATTGATTAAGACAGCCTTTAAATCCCGCTGTCTCCTCATAGTGCTGCTGCAGGATTGGCAGCTGGTGTCCGCGGCTTGGGCCAGCCCGTGCCCTGCCCCGCCCCCCTGCTACATTTGCTTGTACAGTACGTAACTTTCTGTGTGCGCTCTCCAGTCTATGACAGCGGCAGGTGCGCGCCTCAGTCACACCTACCACATTTAATAGCAGATTAATTATTATTATTATTAATTCCCAGGTGTCAGCGGCGGTCTGCAGCGTTGGGACACGTCTCCTCTGCTGCTTTGCTCCCCCCCCCCTGTTTTACCATCCCCGTTTCCATTCACTGTAACATTGTGTTTTTGTTTTGTGCTGCTGCTTCCCTCTGACTCGTTCTGCCCCCACTTCCTCTGTGGCCCCGCTTCCATCCAGCGGTCGGTGCTCCAGCCGCGCTCGCGCTTGGCTCACTCGGAGTTCCCCCCCCCCGTTCTTGTCTGTCACGCACGGAGGGCTGCTGAACGGAGCGGTCGTGGTGCAGTGGGAGCTAGTATTTTAAATTAGTCTCTTCAAATTGCAAGTTCTTAATTTTGTTTTACCAATGTCTAAAAATAAACCGAATGTACTTTAAATGGAACCTTGGCCTGTCCTATTACTTACCTGTGTGCCTTGAGGAAAAGTTCCCTATAACTAAAAATAGGGTGGCGTTGTTGCAACCACTACTCTCATTTAGAAGTTACTCTAAATTACCACCAGCTAAGGCTCGGTACCACGACATATAATAGATACAATCTATACCATACTACCTGTATACTATATACTGTCTTCTATACTATACTTTTACATACTAAGATCTTTCCCTTATTTCAAACATTTTCACCCATTTTCATCAATTTCTTTCACCTATTTTTTACGTATTTTGTTCTGTCTTTTTAGCCACGTTCTAAAAAAGGTTGTGACTCGACTTGACAACCACAGAAACAACGTTTATAATTAATTTGAAACATTGAAAAGCATTAAAATGTTACTTTCACACAATATATGGCACGAGGCAAACATTTAAGTTCTTGTCTGAGTTTTTGTGATCGTTGCCGTGGGTTACAGCCTTTTGAACTGTTGCTGCCTTCACTCTGTCGTCTTCATTTTCTCTTCTTTCTCTGTGTTTCTCTCCACCACCTCCTCCTCTCCTGCCACTTCTCCTCTCCTTGTCCTCCTCTTTGTCTTCTTCATCTTTCTCTTCTTCTCCTCTCCCCCAACTTCTTCCTCCTTCCCTCCTCATCCCCTCTCCCCCTCTCCTCGTTTTCTTACACCTCTCTCCCCTTCCTGTCTCCTCGTTCTCCTCTCTCTCCTCCTCCTCTCCCTCTTTCTCTTCTTCCTCTCCCTCCTTGTTCTCCTCCTCTGCCTCTTCTCCTCATTCTCCTCTCTCTCCTCCTCCTCTCCCTCTTTCTCTTCTTCCTCTCCCTCCTTGTTCTCCTCCTCTGCCTCTTCTCCTCGTTCTCCTCTCTCTCCTCCTCTCCTCCATTCTTCTCCCCCTCATTCCCATTCCCCCTTCCTCCTCCTCTCTCTCACCCTCCCCTCCCTTTTTCTCTTCTCACTTCTTTTCTTCTCCACCTCCTTCCCCCTCCGCTTTCTCCTCTTCTTCTCCCTCATTCTCCTCTCTCTCCTTCTCTCCCTCGTTCTACTCTACCTCCTGTCTCTCCCCCTCCTATTTCTCCTCTCTCTCCTTCTTTTCTCCTCCTTCTACCCCCCACTCCCTGGTTCTCCTTCTCCTCTCCCGCCTCCTCCTCCTCTCTCTCCCCCTCCTTTTTCTCCTCTCTCTCTCCTTCTCTTCCCCTTTTTCTCTCTCCTTCTCCTCTCCTCTTCCCACCCCCTCCTCTTCCTCCCTCCCCTCCTCCCCCTCAGCCCCAGTTGCTGGAGCGCCTCCTGGAGGAGCTGCAGAACCTGAAGGCCACAGTGGTGTCTCAGGAGAAGAGAATCTGTGAGCTGGAGAATAAGTTGTCGCAGTACACAAACGGCACGGCTTAACGCTCGCACACAACGCTGAGAACCTACGTCTGGATTCTTTTGGGATTTCTCATATTTCATAATCACGCTTCAAAGTTTTCACTCAAGAAAGGACCAGAGAAACTTGATCTACAATTATTAGAACTGATTAGTAAATAATAAAGAAAAATCAAATGTGTCTGTTCAGGTCTAGCCTGGTCTTAGTCATCCTTAAACTTTCCTCGGTTGAATCCCCTCCAACCAATCAGAGAACGGGGGAGGCGGGTGTTGTCGGTTGGTTCGGTGATGTCAAGAGATTGCGCTGAATTTGCTGGGTGTAGTTTGGCGATGGCGGAGAATGCGAAAGTAAAAGAATCTGGAGCAAGAGGAATGTTTAGATGTTGTGGCTCTTCTCCCTACGGGGTTCGGCAAAAGCCTTATTTTCCGTTTAGCTCCGTTACTGGCAAAGGAGATGGCTAAAGCAAGGCTAAATACTAAAGCTAGGCTACATGCTAAATGCCTCACTCACTCGGGCACATTACATACGTCACGATAAAACTCAGATCCAATCGTTTCAATCTGCAAGTTTATAAAAGTCATAAATATGAGAAATCCCAAAGGCAGCAGCTCCTTGCTCTCAGCTCCTTTGTAGAAATAGTTTGAACTGGTCTGAATTCAGATGATTGTAGACACCGTCCGTTGCGTTGACAAGGACCCAATCTCCTGCACTCCGAGGTAAAAACAAAACGCAAAAAGTAGAACACTTTCCGTTGCATTCACATAATTACCTTTTGATGCTGAGGGGATGGATCACACTTCTGTAATATATATGAGAGAGTGAGCAGTGAGGCCCAGAGGGGACACGGTTTGAGGGATTTGAGAACGTCGGAATAGAGTCAAGTCTACAACAAACACTTTTTATACATTTAAGGAAAAGGAAATGCCAAAAAAAGATTAGCCATGATTAATCCAACATACCTCACACTGCAGAGAGGGCCACCCAAGCTTTCAAATGTAAATAGTTATAAAAGATTCAGGACAATTTTTAATCTTGTCATTTGTTTTGTGTTTTGTAAAGCATTTGACCACAATAAAACAGTCTTTTTTAAACTCCTTTTGCACTCTCTTCATTTACTCTTTTGGTTATTTATTTTTATATTTATTTGATAGGGACAATGCACTTTTTGCAGTGTAGCCTTGTTTTCACCTGTCTCCCATTTGGCTCAACTCTACTCAACTTGACCCTGGTTGGGATTGTTTCCACTGGCCCGGTTTAACTGGTGCCAGGTACTTTTTTAGGTAGTTCTAACCAGAAGAAGCTGGTTCTAAAGTGTTCTGCCAGTATTTGGGCAAAGTGCTGCTGGATGTTGGGTGTTGGCTACGGTATCAGATACTAAAGAAAAATGGAAACGCAACCGAGTAGAGTAGAGTAGAGTAGAGTAGGACTTATAGGGCTGGTGGGTTTAAGTTTCTTAAGTTCTTAAATAATCCTGTCATATCAACACACACACGATTAACATTCTTGTGCGACTCCGGACCCCCTCCCTGTCCATCTCCTACCCACAATGCCACTGTACAGGAATGTGTATAAACTATGTCATCATTGTATGTAAGTACTGTACACGTGCTCCTCTATGTGTTAAAAATTCAATACAAAAACAAAAAGTTCTCAAATATAAGTAAAGTGCTGAACTGTGTCATGCTGGCGGTTTCTTATGGTGTAGAAATGACATTTATGCAGAGAAAATATCTTTTATTTGTCTCACAGTGGTAAGATTTCAGTGTTTTGCACAGTTTCAGAAAAGACAGAATATGAAAATCAATCAAAAACAACATTAAATGATACTGGATACTACATTTCTACTGAAAGATTCTTTGGGCCGGTTCAGGGTTCACTGTTGGTTTTCTACATTCACATAAAAAGAATTTTGGAAAAAGTGATAGATCCAGTTAAACTAAAGAGAGCACAATATGCAACAGTTATGAATTACAGTATTTACAATGATAAACTATTTTGGTTCTCCCACTATATATAAATAATCATAGCAGCATGTGAGCGAGACTAAAGTGAGCTGTAAGTGCAAACTCTGATATAATTGGCATATTTTTCAGAATATTTCAAATGACATTTTCACAATTAGCTCAACAATACACTTTTAAATACGGCACAGCAGAAACAGGACAATGTTACTTCATTAGTTCATAAGAAAATTCATATTTACAGCTGTGTGGGACCTCACTCACACAGAATACGAAATAAATGTCTGACTAGAGGCTTGTGTGGTTTTTGCTTTGCTCTGCCTTAAATCACAGTCATTTTCAACGACATTTATCTTGAGAAAATATAATTGAAAGCACAAAAAATCTGTATATATATTATTTAAACTTTTTTTTCCATCTCTGGCTTCTCAACATAACAAAATAATTACAAAGAGGTGAGTCCAGGCACTTGGCAATCAGTGGATTTTTTCCCCTTTGAGCAAACATGCCTGTACGAAGCAGTCGAGTCATGTAATAGTTTTTTTTCTATTTAACCAGGAAAGTCCCACTGAGATGTCAGAATAATTTTGGCCAAAGAGAGGAGGGGGGGGGGGGGGGGGGGTCGGGGGGTATTGTACATGTTATTAGTTGAAAGGGAAGCTGGAGCACCTGAAGGAAACCTACACAGACACTGAGAGGACATGCAAACTCCACTCAGAAATACCCTGTTATGACCGGGCTTCAAACCCCGAAGCTTCATGCCGAGAGAGCTAACTACTCTGCCACACAAAATCAACCTCGTAAAAACCGGGGACTAACAAACGGCAGTAATTCTTGGAGTTTTGAGTTGAGTTAATACAGATTATCCACATGAGCCAGGCATGTCCAAACTAAGGCCCGAGAGCCAATTGCGGCCCACTGTGTCATTCTATGTGGCCCTATGCTTTGCTAACCCAAAATACCATTGAGATTTTAAACACAAGTTCGTCGTGTTATCCAGCCAACTTCCGCTTCTCCAGTACAGGCATGTTATGAAACTCAAAACCTTTTGAAGCCATTTTATTTGTATGCACTGACGTTTGTTTTTCATTATGGCACAAAAAAATTGTTTACGGCACTGACATAGCTATTGAGAAAGCTTTTCAACTTACCTCAGCTCTCACAGATGTTATACATGTATTAAATTATCATGTTATACCTCATTTAGCTTCTCAAAATAGATCACTTCTAGTCAAAATAGTTTTACAATCCGTGTCGGCCCCTGGACAAGTCTGGCGAGCTAAAGTGGCCCTCTGACCTGTCATAAGGAGTTTCATTTCAACAGATAGGAAAACAAAAGAATGATCATGTTTAGAAAGAGTAGACCAGTAGAGGGCGCTGTTCCTGTGGCCAGAGAAGATGGAGAAGTCACAACACTAGAGTTAGAGAAAGAGCAGGTGCCCACATTGCCCACGTTGTCCACTGCTTGTAGCTGCATGGAGGGCGCGCAGCAGGACGCGCTGTAGGACACTGTGGTGATGTTGGGGTTGTTGGGGTCCTTGGTGGCGGTGAAGTTCCCGTCGCCCTGTTTTAGGCTGACCCGGTTCACCCCCGTCCCGTCAGCGCCGTCCGTGACCCGAGCCGAGAACCACCACTGGTCTGAGTTGCAGTCGGTGGAACAGTTGGACTGAAGACCCGTGAGCTCGCACACGGGAGCGGAGAAGTCTGTGACCTGAGGAAGACAAGGAGGATTTTATAAGTAAGTTATAATTGTACTTGTTACACACAGGCTTATCCTCAAACACGGCAAAGATGGAGGAATGAATAATGGTTAAAAGTAAGTCATTTTTCTCTTGTTTTGAGGACACCTATATTTAAAGCTGGGGTATCTCACTTTTGTTGTAAACAGTATGTTTTTTTTTGTTTTAACATGGAACACACTTCTCAAGAGACCACCGACCAGCAGAGGGCACAGTCAGCCCAGTAAACCACAGCGTTCCCAGAGGTATCCCATCACAGCACTAACCAGGCCCTGTCCTGCTTAGCTTAGGAAGGTCTGACTGGATTTGGCTTTCATGTGCAGGTGACGCCGCAATACTCTCAACGCAAGTATTTAGTTCATATTTACTCATCTTGGGTTGTGTGCTCCTCATTCCTACTGCTCTTTAACTGATGATGCAACACTGGAATTTCCCCACTGTGGGTTGAATAAAGAATCTCTTAATCTTAACTCTTTAACGTTCACTTCTTGGTCTTTTTAAATTTTACTAAGATGTAAGAGCGGTAATAATACAAGCAATTTTTTAAAATGTATTTTATTATAGGCCTTTATCAAATGGTTTAGATGCAGTTTGATGGTAAAAGGGCCTAAAACCAACTGATAAAGGAAGATTTCAGTTCCAAGCTTCAAGTTGGAGCTGAAGATTTGATGATTCAAAAAAGTGATCCACAAAAAGATCCAAGGCACCAATTTCCCCACTGTGGGTTGAAGAAAGTCTCTCTCTTAATGAAGCAATATGTAAGATTTTCATGTCGAGTCATCATTAAAGGGCCCTAATCTGTCAAAAGGCTTTAATAAAACATGCTCTTTTCCAATAATTCTTTAACTGATAAACGTAGTTCAGAGATATTTGCATTTTAAAGTTAGTTTTACAGCCCCTAAATCTTGTTATTGTTTTAATTTCAATGTCCTGCCCTCCACCGTTTCACCAATCAGAAAGTCTGTGATCCGGGCGCCAGAACTCACTGCGTTGAGCTAATCTCACTGGTAAAGTACCATGTGGACGCAGAACTAAAAAAGGTCTTATTTATAAAATGTCTTTCTAATTCTAAAAACATTAATGAAAAAACAAGGAATAATATGCATATCTGGCAACCTGAGTCAGGGAGAGTGCAGTACCACTTTTGGCCAGATGTTTACATACTGCTCCTTTAATCTCACTCTCCTCTACACTGATTGACAGGATACCACATAAATGCGACATCAATCCTGGCGTCTTACTGTGTTGAAGACGGCGAAACGCTGAACCACAAAATTGTCGTCGCCGGTCGGAGTCTCGGCCTCGATGGTCAGGGTCACGTCGCTGCCTGAGCGTGTGTTGAGCGGCGCCGAGAGGGTCACGGTGCCGTTGGTGCTGTTCCCGCTGTCGATCATCAAGACGCTCGGGAAAGTCGAGGCAAAACCACGGTTGTTGGTGACTCTGATGGTGATGTTTACTCCCACCTCAGCGCTGGACACAGAGAAGGGCACCACAAAGGGCGTTCCTGGGGTCAACAGACTGTCTGCACTGGCCTGAAAATAGAAGAAAATAATCATTAATAATAAAAGAAGAGCTTGGTTAAGATAGAAAGTTGTAAGATTGTCCAGATGCAACGGATTGTCCGACCAGCCAGACACTTCTACATTTTAACCTGGATGTTCAAATGAATTTAACCCTTTAATGTTCACTCCTTGAAGAAAGCAAAGTACATTGATTGGGTGTATTTCGACTGCTTAACTGGTTGACATAAATCTAGAACATCCAGATCCGGCCCGCAAATGAATTATCTTGGCCACCGGGGTGACATTTTATTAGTATTAGAACTGGCCCGCGCAAAGCCATGAGAAAATATTGGTTTATTAAGTTCATGTTCAGTGTTTTCACTTTGAAGGAAGTTTGATTTTGTCTGTGAGCCTGTTGAAAAATAAAATACGGTAAACTTTGTTAGGTCTCGGTTCAGTAGGTTATATGCAATCATTTTAATATGTTTTAATAAACTTTGAACCAGTTTGGCCTTCGGTTTGATGCAATTTAGTTTTTCGGCCCTCTGATGCATTTGACTTTGACATCCCTGATCTAGAACATGGGCGTCAACGTCAAGTTAGTATTAGAACCGGCCCACACAGAGCCATAAGAGAATATTGGATTATTAATTTCTGGTTGCAAATCCCTGGAATAAACTTCATGCTTTGTTTGATAGAACCTGCTTATTCCTAGTTCTGTCCAGTCTAAGCTTGTACTAAAGTGTTCTAACTGACAGTGATTGGCCAGAGTGCTAATGGAAGTGATTCCAACGGATACTGGTTTGTTGTGGGTAGGTTGTTAGGATGCGGTGAAAGCCTGAACACGCACACACACACACACACGCACAGGCACACACACACACACACACACACGCACAGGCACACACGCACAGGCACACGCACACACACACACACACGCACAGGCACACACACGCACACACACACACGCACAGGCACACGCACTTCTAAAATGAAACACATACACTGATGGTGAGATTGGAGGAGGTGAAGCTGGTGGAGGACTGGCGCTGGAACACAGAGGAGTCTTTTGTCCCTTTGACCCGCACCACAAACTGTCCTGCTGGGATGGTGGACAAGTGGACCATGTAGCTCCCCTCCTGGGCCTTCACGGTCCCAGAGACTGAGTTTGTGCGCTGAGCCTCCACCAGAGCCACCTCCGTCACCTTCGCAGAGTCACTGCCAGTCAGCGTCACCACAACACTCCCCTCCACTCCTACAACACAAATACAGTGCCTTGCGAAAGTATTCGGCCCCCTTGAACCTTTCAACATTTCGCCACATTTCAGGCTTCAAACATAAAGATATAAAATTTTAATTTTTTGTCAAGAATCAACAACAAGTGGGACACAATCGTGAAGTGGATCAAAATGTATTGGATAATTTAAACTTTTTTTTAAAATAAAAACTGAAAAGTGGGGCGTGCAATATTATTCGGCCCCCTTGCGCTAATACTTTGTAGCGCCACCTTTTGCTGCAATTACAGCTGCAAGTCTCTTGGGGTATGTCTCTATCAGTTTTTCACATCGAGAGACTGGAATTCTTTCCCATTCTTCCTTGCAAAACAGCTCGAGCTCAGTGAGGTTGGATGGAGAGCGTTTGTGAACAGCAGTCTTCAGCTCTTTCCACAGATTCTTGATTGGATTCAGGTCTTGACTTTGACTTGGCCATTCTAACACCTGGATACGTCTATTTGTGAACCATTCCATTGTAGATTTGGCTTTATGTTTTGGATCATTGTCCTGTTGGAAGATAAATCTCTGTCCCAGTCTCAGGTCTTTTGCAGACTCCAACAAGTTTTCTTCCAGAATGGTCCTGTATTTGGCTCCATCCATCTTCCCATAAATTTTAGCCATCTTCCCTGTCCCTGCTGAAGAAAAGCAGGCCCAAACCATGATGCTGCCACCACCATGTTTGACAGTGGGGATGGTGTGTTCAGGGTGATGAGCTGTGTTGCTTTTACGTCAAACATATCCTTTTGCATTGTGGCCAAAAAGTTCGATTTTGGTTTCATCTGACCAGAGCACCTTCTTCCACATGTTTGGTGTGTCTCCCAGGTGGCTTGTGGCAAACTTTAAACGAGACCTTTTATGGATATCTTTGAGAAATGGCTTTCTTCTTGCCACTCTTCCATAAAGGCCAGATTTGTGCAGTGCACGACTGATTGTTGTCCTATGGACAGACTCTCCCACCTCAGCTGTAGTTATCTGCAGTTCACCCAGAGTGATCATGGGCCTCTTGGCTGCATCTCTGATCAGTCTTCTCCTTGTTTGAGATGAAAGTTTGGAGGGACGGCCGGGTCTTGGTAGATTTGCAGTGGTCTGATACTCCTTCCATTTCAATATAATTGCTTGCACAGTGCTCCTTGAGATGTTTAAAGCTTGGAAAATATTTTTGTATCCAAATCCGGCTTTAAACTTCTCCACAACAGTATCTCGGACCTGCCTGGTGTGTTCCTTTGTCTTCATGGTTCTCTCTGCGCTTTAAACAGAACCCTGAGACTATCAAAGAGCAGGTGCATTTATACGGAGACTTGATTACACACAGGTGCATTCTATTTATCATCATCAGTCATTTAGGACAACATTGGATCATTCAAAGATCCTCACTGAACTTCTGGAGTGAGTTTGCTGCACTGAAAGTAAAGGGGCCGAATAATATTGCACGCCCCACTTTTCAGTTTTTTATTTGTTAAAAAAGTTCAAATTATCAAATGAATTTCGTTCCACTTCACGATTGTGTCCCACTTGTTGTTGATTCATGACAAATTGTATATATTTATGTTTGAAGCCTGAAACGTGGCGAAATGTTGAAAGGTTCAAGGGGGCCAAATACTTTCGCAAGGCACTGTACATCATGGTTCTGGTGAGTTTCTGCTGCTGGAATTCTCCCAAAAGGTATTTAAGTATGTATCTACTATTTGCAATACAACTCTTTAAACTATTAGAAAATAAACACACTATTAGACACACACACACACACACACACACACACCTATACTATTAGATATATATAAATACACACATATACTATTAGATAAATATACACACAAAAATACGTACCTATACTATCAGATACAGACACCGTCACAAAAATACATACATATACTATTAGATGTATATACACACACAAAAAAATACGTACCAATACTAGAGTTATATACACACACACACACACACACAATTAAGTACCTGGGCTTCAAAATAGTTCTGTCTTTCTTTATCCATTAAATAAAAAAGGTGAATCTAATATTTTGCCCAGAGTGTGTTTCATGTTTAGTGCAAGTCTGTATTACATGTATTATTGTATTTTTCCATTCCAGTTCTGTACCCAGCTTTAAATTGTACCGTTTGCGGACACGTCCTAAAAGTATTTATTTTCACGTACCGACTTTAGGCCGAGTCTCAAGAGTATCATATCCTCCGAAGGGCCCTTGGGAAGCTTGAACAAAGTCGACCAGGAAGTCAATAGCACTCTGACCTGAGGAGGTAAGTTACAAATGTAAGAACACAGGTGGCAAACCCAAGGCCCGCGAGCCAAATACGGCCCCCCAGACAGTTTTCAGCGGTCCCTAAAATGGTTTAAAATTGTTACTATTAACTTGCAGCATTTGTTGTAGATCAACAGGAGATTCCATGGTGTGTCATAGCTGATTTTAAAGACACAATTCTCAATAAAACAACCGTATAATTAATGTTTTTCTAAAATTGGACCATAACATGTAATTATAATAATTGTAATAGTACATTTCTCCAGTGTGAGATAAATAAAACATACCGTAACTGAAGTTTAGTTCAGAAAAATCTCCAAGAAAATAATGTCCAAACTAGGCTTAAATTCAAATATTCCTTTTGTCGAAATACATTCATCATGTAAAATAAATGCATAAAAATATTCAAGATGCAAAGATGAGCTTCAAACACCTGGTATTAGTTTTTAGATCTGGCCCGGACCAGATTGACAGCCTTTTCCTTACACTAAAGCCGACCTGTCATTCCCGTCAAAACCAACATAATCTCAGAGAAAGTTTAGTCTAAATAACCTTAGACTCTGCTTGAATAATAATGCATTTTTAACACTGGATAGACTCGCCTTGCCGCAGATATGACCTGTAAGTTAGCACAATGATGCTTGTTTCTGATGTATATTGATACGTTTAGAGGCAAAATGTGTAATATTCCAGACAAAACAATAACATTTTGATTTATACAAGTCAGAGGCGGATCCTTAACTGGGAAACGAGACAGGATTGTTTAAGTTCAATATTTTACGGTGAAAAAAATGCAGTAGATTTTATTTTGTTGATATAAAGTTCAGACCTGTGACTTTGAGCGTGTATGGATTTGCAGAGGCCAACTTCAGGGTCCATTCTCCAGTTTCCACTTTGAGCCTCAGCGTCTGGAAGTTCCCCACAGACTCCGAGGAGCTGACCAGGACTCCGGACGTTCCGCTCTGAGTCACACCTGCCACAAATAAGAACTTTTACTGACGGCTGTGATTGAGGCGGCGAGATGAAGTTTTGTTGAATGAATTTGAATGTTTACTATGATTTATGATTCATTTGTCTTATGTGATGTGGGCTGAGAAGTACTTTGTGTGCGCTCTACAAACACAGATAGATTGATTGAGATCTGGGGGTGGTGATGGTGATGGTGATGATGGTGATGGTGATGATGATGATGGTGATGATGATGATGATGGTGATGATGATGGTGATGGTGATGGTGATGGTGATGGTGATGGTGGTGATGATGGTGATGATGATGATGATGATGATGGTGGCTCACCTGCGGGGCTGGTGAGTGTGACGCTGATGGAGCTTCCCGTCATGTAAACAATTACTTTACTCATGGTTTTGTCCACAGTGAAAGTGAAAATCTCTGTGACTCCAGGGCTCCGTGCTGTTTGCAGGACGGTCACCTGAGACACAGGTTTGAACAGCTGCGTCAACAACAACAACAACAGCAACAACAACAACAATACAACAGCTACAAACCTGTAAACACGTGTTTTAAACCAGGGGTGTCCAAACATTTTAGAAAGAGGGCCTCATTTGTTCATCAGACCAGTCCAGGCTGAAAAACTGTCTTGACTGGCATTGGGGCATTCTGAGCATTAAAATGATCTATAACAGAGCTGAAGTTGGCTGAATGATACTTGTTTACCATCTCACTAGCTACAGTAGCACCATTAACGAAAGTTTGTGACACAATAAAAAACCACAAAAATAAATATAGTCAGTGACTGAATTCTAGACGTACTGGGCTTTAGAGTGAGTTACATACATCTATATTGGCTGAGCTGAAGTTGGATGGATGACACAGTGAACTCGAGAAGACTACTTTGGGTTAGCAAGAAAGAGAACCACATGAAATGACCGTCTTAAACTTTTAATGTTTACTCCTTGAAGAAAGCAACGCCATTTGTTTAATCATCCAAGATTATCTAAGCACTAATAACAAAAATAATGTTTTTTCACTGTTTTTTTTCTTTTCTTTTCTTGTGTTGATCTGGACCTCGAGCAACTAAAGTTATCTGTCTATCTTCATTTATTTTAAACCACATTCTACCAAATAGTTTGATGGTAAATGTGGTTAAAGAGTCAAGGCAGGCTCAGAGGACATGTGTTTGCTTCACGTTGTTTCTGTGGCGTTCTGAGGACAATTGTAAACACAGTATTTCATGTTTATTTAGCGTTCTGGGGACAGTGTCTGGTTCATGTATCTTGTTTATATAGCCTTCTGGGGACAGTTATAAACACAGTGTTTGGTTTATGTTTCTACAGCGTTCTGAGGACAATTGTAAACACAGCAGTTAATGTTTACATAGCATTCTGGGGACCATGTCTGGTTCATGTGTGTTTCTCTCACAATGGAGTTGGTGGAGGCCTCGGTGATGATGCTGGTGGCGGTGGGCAGCTCGCTCTTGGACACCTCTATGGCCAGTCCCCCTGAGGCCTGAGACACGTCTTTGTACAGCTGTGCGTCTGCGCCCGTGATACGCAAGCTCCGTCTGCGCCGATTGGTGGATGGTGAATCTGTGATGAGGAAATTCACCTGAAGAAAAACATTACCAGACAAAACTAAATCACTGCAACTGCATTATATCTGCATATCTTAATTTTACTTTCTTGAAGTTGCGTGACTAGGGCTGGGATAAACGATTATTTTTTAAACGATTAATCTAGCGATTATTTTTTCGATGCATCGATTAATCTAACGATTATTTTTATCGCTTCGATTCGATTTTGATTCGAGTCGATTCTCGATTATCTCCCCATTAATTGACTAATATTGATGTATACATGTTGATTTAAATATTTTAATGAAAAAAACATGAATTCCTTCACAAAAAAAATGTATTGCTTGCTCTTAAAATTCAAAAATAAGACATTCTTAGAGGTAGCATAAAACCTTAAAGCCTTGAAAACACAGCTTACTGAAAAAAGTGCATCTTATCATTCTTGAAACAAACATTTGATGCTTAGCATTCAATTAAAACATGAAAAAGTTCAGCCAAATACTTGTGTAGAGCAACTAAAAGAAAACAGTAACCAATGTAAACTTGAAGGCTTTAAGCTAAACAAAGAGTGCTTTTCCAGCAAAAACAGTGGGAGCCATCAGCCTGTCATGGCGTCCTTCCTGAACCAACAGAGTTTAACATTTAAGTTGAAGACACATAGGCCTATATTACTGAAGTCCATTAATTAAAGTGCATCTCTTAAATTCTTCATTCATATAAAAATAACAGTCAAAACTCTGCCACTCACCTTTTTCTTAAACTCAAAATTCAAAAATAAAATTCAAGTAAGAGTGTACAAGAGAAAAACAATGCATTGTGTAGCAAATAAAAAGGTCAACCAGTCATCCTTTCTTTTAGAGTTACTGAAAGAATACAGTAGAAGTAATCTCAGAGGACTTAAAACAACATTGAAGTCACCAACACAGATCAAAGAATCAATCAACAGTTGAACACATTAAGGATATTGAACACATGTTGAAAAATGTCCATATACGGCGGGCATGACAGTGAATAATACATGTAGGGGCTATTACGGGCGCCAATATTCCGTTTGATACAAAGAAAGACAGACTAGTTGTAAGCTGTAGAGTTGCCACAGGATGCGTCATCAGCCTACGTCAGCAGCCGCGGACTGCTATGAAAACATTAGCTTTGTGGTTTCACAGGCGCAGTTGACTGCTTAACTCACTGACTGCCAGGCATTTTCAGATTTGAGAAGTGCGTTCTGCCAGCAATTTCAGGTGATTTGACCCAACTTTGAAGTGCCACAGAATATTCATTTTTTAGACGATGTAAACACCAAGGGCACCAAATTAAAGATTAACCTCTCTGCTTTACTCTGAAAAAAACAGTTTGTTTCTACCTCTTACCGTTCTTGAGTTATTCGCCATAGAACAAAGCATACTTTCACCCATAACACCTGGTCTGAGCAAGAAAACAGAGGAAACGAGCTGTATGTAAACAGGAACATATCAAGCAGAAAAGAGACTTTTAGATGCATTTTTGATGCTTTAGTGACAACTCAAAACATCTTCACACTTGTTCCATTACAAAAATTATAAAAACATGACTCTGAAATAATACTTTTGATGGCAAATTGTTGGCAATTTATTCACAGATAGAAAATGTAACTTTCTTCTATACCATCAACCAAAACGTCAAACAACAACAACACAAAGATCAATAAAACTATAGATGTATAAAATAGAATGAAGCATGTGAATGTGTGAATGTCAGTGTGCGAGTGAGTGTCTGTGTGCGTGAGTGAGTGAGTGAGTGCGTGTGAGTGTTCGTGAGTGTGTGTATGAGTGAGTTTATCTGCTTTTTCAGTCCTCCCAGTAGTTCAGCTTTGAGTTGTAGAGGTTGAAACACTGTGTGCAACGGAACACAACACGCCGTGTACCATTTGTAGTTCTCCCTCCGTGAAGAAGAGCTCCAGAAAGTCTGGATCAGATGAATCCAGCTCCAGAAAGTCAGGTGGATCAGATGAATCAGATGAATCCAGCTCCAGAAAGTCTGGATCAGATGAATCCAGCTCCAGAAAGTCAGCTGGATCAGATGAATCCAGCTCCAGAAAGTCAGCTGGATCAGATGAATCCAGCTTCGCAGCCTCTGTCCGCAGTCTCTGTGGTCCAGGAGCTCCTGTGAAGGGACTGACTCGGCTCCCACTCATCCTCCTGTCAGCCATCTTCCCCAGAGCTTCTGGGTGACGAACGTGCTGGAAATTGGATACACACAATAAATATATTATACAGTGAATTTGTTACAATAAATCAATACATAAAATACAATGAAGGCCTTCCTCCCACATTATTGACTGACTACTTTTGGACCAAACACAGTATACTATATTATTATTATTATATTATATTGCCATGGGATGTACAAGAATAGAAATAGTAGTTCTTTTACCTTTTTTGTGCACAGCAACTGCCTCTTGATGCACCACCTGTAAATAATATACATTTGTAAATCACTATACCAGGAGAATATATACAATAATATGTACAATGGTATGAGGAGGAATCATCTTTACCTCCATGCCCTGTCAACCCCAATGGGGGAGGGCTCTTTTATCAGAATCTGTGAATGGAGAACACATTTCATTTAGTCAGAGCTATGACACTACAACAAGATGTTCAAGCATGAAATAACTAAACATAAAAATAATAAATACAACAATGATAAAACGCATAACTGGCATTTACTAAAGAAACAGTAGGATTTGAGCACTGTGTTACTTTGCAGATCAGAGCAAGTTTCCGCGCCTTTTCCTCCTCTCAAGTCAGCATATTCTAGGCAATTTAGCAAGTTCTTACCTTCGACTCTTTGTGGAGCTTCTGGAGAGGATGCTCTGCTGGATTGAGACTGCAACCACTCATCCGATAAATCATGATCAGGTTTGCTGAACGAATCCGAGGCATCAGTAACAACAGCAGCTGATACGCTGCGAGAGGCGGAAGGTGTGTCCCTGCTCCGGGCTCTGGGCTGCAGAGACGGACCTCCACCGGGGTCTCCCCTCTCTCCCCTCTCGACCTCACTCACTGATCCGCGAGTCAATCTCTGAAGCAGTGTACACTGCTTATAACTATTCTTTTTCGCCATCACTCTTGCTATACTATCGCTAAACTAGATCGCTGATCCGTCTCAATGCTACAGCAGCACGCTCTCCAAACACTCCCACACTCCTCCTCCTTCTCTCCAATGACTTATGACCTCTCCTGTGGTGCAATACTGCATCCTACTGGTGTTGATTTATCATTACAGGTACATTTGCACTATATATCAGTATTGTGGGTCATTCACAAGGTGCGCCAGACATTACTGTAGCCTCCCGTGTAATAACACGAAAAACTCGTCAAACTCGTCATGGGCAGTGAGCGTTACTATTCAACATGACGAGTTTTGTCGACATGGGCAGTGAATGAGTTAAACTAAACTTTGCACAAAACTTTGACTCTTAAAACCCACATGTGACAAAACGGAACCATCAACATCTCGCCTCAAATTGCATTAAAAGTGACATTCGTGTCTGAATTCGTTCGTATTTTAACTTTTAAAGAAATTCACGGTCCGCCATCTTGGTATGCTTCGGCTGCCGTGAGACGCGCATGCGCAGGTTTGCATTACATCATAAACAGCTGAGGCTGTGCATCTCTTCAAGGCAGTGTATCTCAGCGTTACACCGGCTTGCACTTCTCTAACACGGCACTCGCATTGCTACCGCTCGCCGCCATCTTTGTTTTGTGTGCGACGCACCGACGCGCATATTATGGGCTAGACACACGGGAGGCGACAAATGAGAGCGATCAGCGAAACTCAACGCTGTCGCTCAGATAACATGACAGACGGGGCGCGATGCGGCTTGACGACAGCGTCGAAAAGTTGAGCCGATTTCAACTTTCTGGGATCGCGTCGCTGACCTGCGCGTGCACGATACATGCACGAGCGGGAGGATTTCACACGCACGTTTTTCGCCCGTCGTTGAGCAGGAGGCTCGCTAGCGATTGACGCTATGTCGCGCACGTCCCATTGAAAATGAATGGAGGCGATGCGATGTCGCCTCCCGTGTGTCGAGCCCATTATACGTCGGTGTATTTTTTGCGTCGACGTCACCGATTACGTCGACGCGTTGTCCCAGCCCTATGCGTGACATAACTTTCTCATAAATTTTACTTCAGGTATGTTCCAAGAGAGGGAACAATTTTGAAACATAGTTAAAAACTCCAAAAACCACTTTTGCATACAGGCGAGTGTGTACAGTATGTATGAAATGTCTTGTTTTACCCCAAGCATTTTCTCACTGTGACTAAATGCAAATTTGAACTGTCATTTTTTAGCAAGATTTTTCACAATGTTTGGTAGGATATATTTTTTTTTTTACAGTGACAAGGAACATTTGCCAAAAGGAGAGGAGAGCTAATTTACAGCTCTAGACCCTGTGCAGGTGGTTGTAAAACAGTAGAATATAACACACACACACACACACCCACACACGCTTGTCATTTTTTCTGAGCACAAAGTCAACACACTGCAAAAAATGATAAAATATGAGGTAATAATTGAATTGAGTGTTTTTTATCTTAATCTGAGCACATTCTGACTGTCTTTAACTATGATTTGCCATAGGATTTATTTCAAGAACTGGTGCTTTATTTTTTAATTCCAATGGAGACATTTCTTCTATCTTTTTAAAACAATATAATTTTGCTGATTGTCCTATTGGCAAAATTTTGTTTTAAGGCAACTAAATGTGCCAAATGTTCACTCATTTTTCATCACTTTTTGCAGTGCATAAGTAGATCACATTACAATGGCTAAAGCAGGAATATATTATGGAGAATAGTTTGAACTTTGAGCAAACACCATCAGTTCATCCTTTGTCCAACAGCCCAAAGCCTCATCAAACAAACCAGACAGTGACGATAGTGACTTCTCTCACTCACCACAGTCTGGGTCCTCTCTATGAGCGCGATCACGGTGCTTTTTAACTGTGTGTCTTTAGCTCCAGCGTCAGTGAAAAGGAAGATGTCTGAGTTAAATGGAGCAGTAGTTAAAGCCAGCTGCAAACATAAAAGAAAAGACAGAAATAACATGTTAAGGTTGAAATGTTTTGCTAAATTCTGATATTGTTGAACCTTCACAGACCTGAAGTCCAGACAGAGCCAATTCCCGCTCGTCTCCTCCTCCACTCGGAGACAAACGGGTGATCACGTCTTTGAAAACTTTGGGGTCTGAAGTTTTGATCAGAGGTCCCACGTCTGAAATGAAAATACAAAATCAACCCTCACTGTCTGTAAATAAATATATAAATGTCAATGCAACGTAAGACAAGGCAAGTTTAGCACAGTTCATACACATGGGAACTCATAAAAATATAGAAAAACACAGTACAAAGAAAAGAGTAACCAGCCAAACAGAACTATTTAGTTTTTACATTTTCAGAAAGGAAGCCTGTCTCACATTTTTAGAAAGACTGCTCCTTATTTTAGCTGTGTAAATCTGAAATGCTGTCTCCTCATGTTTAGTGTAATGAGTCTGTTATGTAAAATAAGTATTATATATAAAAAGGGATGTGAAGATCAGACTTCCAGTTGAAATAAGGGAGTGCCTGCATGGCTTCAAAACCACAAACATGTAATCAGATACAGTCTATGGATCAGATTCAAACTGGACTTTTCCGTTCTCTTTACCCTCGACTGTATTCACTGTTGTACTTGTTTTTCTTACCGGTGAGGGAATGTGGATTCAATGTATTTAATATCTGTAATATTTTGAAAATGGACTTTAAGCCTTTAATAAGATAAGAAAAGATAGAATTTATTTATCTCACACAGGAGAAATTTACACGTCACATTTGGCATGGATAAAATCACTCAAGATTGTGCAAAAGAAAGAAATGTGCAAACATGTTAAATGCAGGATATACTATGTACAATAAAAAGTGGCAATCAAGAAACAGTGTCAATAGTAGTGCAGGTTTTTTAGTCCTAATGCAAGTGACTTAAAGTGACTTGTTGTACAGTCTGACGGCGGTGGGGATAAAGGCCCTGCGGTAGCGTTCCTTCCTACACTGAGGGTGTCTCAGTCTTCCACTGAAGGAGCTCCTCAGCTCCTCTACAGTCCTGTGCAGTGGGAGGTATTGTTCATGATGGAGGTGGCTTTGGCTAGCACCCTCCTGTCCCTCACCTCCTCCACAGAGTCCAGGGGCCTCCTGTCCCTCACCTCCTCCACAGAGTCCAGGGAGCAGCCCAGAGTGGAGCTGGCCCTCCTGACCAGCTTGTTCAGTCTGTTTCTGTCCCGCTCTGTGCTGCCCGGGGCCCAACACACGGCAGCGTAGTAAATGGCAGAAGCTACCACAGAGTCATAAAAAGTCCTGAGCAGAGGCCTGCTCACTCCGAAGGACCTCAGCCTCCTCAGAAAGTTTATTTGTTCATTTTTACTCAGTTACATTGTTGCTTTTAATCATGTGGATCATCATTAGCTGTTTGGAAAGTAGTTAAACCAGTCCGACTGCGACCAGCAGCCGACATTTCTTTGTTATTGTGAAATCTTTGTGGACAAAAGCAAATTGGCTTCTCGCCACATTCTCTGTCCATGCGTCACAATTTTTCCTGTTGTTACTTTGTGTGTAATGGAACGTCTTTTGAAACGTCGTAAGATATAGTTCTCTGAGATACAGGACATCTTGATATTATTACTTCTTTCTTTCCATAAGCTGTTATCAGTTTGAACAGAGCACTTTAATGATCTTGCACTTGTATTTAAACTGTTTTAATCGATTTCATAGTGTCAATAGTTTACTGTTTGTTTTACTTCTGTGCTTTTAATCTTGTTCTAAAGTGTGTACTTGTCCACACTGTGGACTTTTGCAAATGTATTCCAATGTGGTTTTACTGCAAATAAATTAATCTGAATCTGATAGTTTGGGAAACATAAACATAGAAGAATTTCAAGAAATATAAATTTTAATACATGAGGGATGCCTACGAGTGTTGGCCTTCGGGCCTGAAGGTCGTGGGTTTGAGCTACGAGTTAAGACCTACTTAACTCGTAGCCCTAGGATCAGTGAGGGGCTGGTGCTATGTGTACTGGGTACAGCTCTGACTGCCACCCCCCCGACCCAGAAATGGATTAAGGGGAAGAAAATGGATTGATGGGGAGGCCTACGTTTTGCATTTTTAGATAATTAGTTTAACCACCAAGTTATCAGACCACTTTTTGAACTGATTTTTTGGAATTTTTCGATAAAAGTCGATAAATGACTTTTTGGGTGGAGCAAGAGTGTTCTACTTTTCTTGTCTGTATGAAAAAGCAGATCAGAAGCTGCACTACACAACAATCACAAATAAATGCGTGTGAAACCTACTGAAATAAGTGTTTTGAGAGTGTGGACCAACAGTAGTTAGATTATATCACATACAGTAGTTGAACATGAGGTACTCCAGCTTTAAGCCTGTGTGTGTTTGTACCTGGGTCGCTGAAGGTGACCAGGACGTAGAGAGACGGCTCGTTGTCGGTTCCCACTTGAGAGTCGATGATGTTGTTGGTGACCGTCTTCACCGCTTCTATGTCGTCCTTCATGCTGTTGGTGACGTCGATCACAAAACACAGAGCTTTACTGGAGCCTTTGGAGATCCCCATCATCCTGAAATACACCAAATATATCTTTTTATATATATATATTTATTGAACATGCCCATCTTTTGAATGCGCTGGAAAATGGCTGCAAGTCCTAAGTTGCTGTTGTTTTGTGGTTTGGAATGTTTTATTTTTATTTATTTTTTATTTCTACCTGAGATGTTGGTGCAGTACAGTGTTTATGGTTTTGCACTGGTCCAGACCGGAGCAGAGAGGATTCATGGTCCTAACCAAGTGGATCAGGCGAAAATCCACTGGAGGAATGATAACTTTTTGAAAAATGCTAATGAAGCATTTACTATTTCACTTTGGACTAGAGCAGAGAAAATGGTCCGAACCAAGCGGCTACTCCACCTTCTGACCTGCCCCGCTCCACCCAGAGACTACTCCATCTCTTCTGCTGTGACCTGAAGGGCTGTAGTTGATTATTACTATTTTTAACTTTTTAGAATGATCAATTTTATGTTTTTATTTTTTCTGCTACTGGACACCTGAATTTCTCCTACAGGGATCAATAAAGTATCTACTGTAGCTATCTATCTACTGTATTCTATCATTTTCACATTGAGGAAAGAACAATGGTCCTGAATCTACAGCCTCAGTCCTGGATCTACAGCCTCAGTCCTAGATCTACAGCCTCAGTCCTAGATCTCAAAGGACAATGGTGATCTTGGACATTTATTAACAATGGCAATTAACAATGACAATTTCTTAATTTTGCAATTCCTGTCATAATGTGGATTTTGTTATTTTGTACTTTGGTTAGACCAATGTCTCTATGTGTTTGTTATCATTGCACTTCTTGTCCCTCTCATTAAAAACTAAAACGACCACATCCAGCTTCCTCCGCACCTAAATTTTTCCTTTTAAAAAGCTGATTGTGAGATCTGTTTTTTACTGCATTTTTGCACTTTTATGTATTTATATTTTATATCTTGTGTTTTTTATGTACCCCCACTGTTACTCCGTCTGTAAATGAAGTTCCTCACGAATAAATAAAGTTATTTGAAATGAATTGTGTCTGATCTGCGTTGGAGAATTTGACAGTTTTGTAAAGTCCTCCGAGAAAACTACTGTCGTTTAAGGCTATACCAAAATAAACACGCCCCTATGTTTAATAGGGGCATGTCAGACCTATTAAACATGTTTTTAGTGGTAGGGGAAACCGGAGCACCCGGAGGAAACCTACACAGACATGGGGAGAACCTGTTCCCACCGAGATTCAAACCCAGAACCTTCTTGCTGAGAAGTGAGAGTGGATAGTGTGCCATTTGAATAATCTGTTCTCATGGGTTTTAAGATTCTTTATGAGTTCTGGTTATGTGTCAATAATCACAACAATCATTCAACTTCGTTTTGCTATTTTTTTTAAACAATAACAAATTAATAACTTCTTTACCTTCCTTTGTTTTGTTTGAACTTTATAATTTGTGAAGATTTTTCTTATTGTTTTCATATTGTGCACCTTTTTTGTATTCAGCACAATAATTCAGACTACTGGGATGTGCGGCCTTATTTGAAACCTTAACATTTGACTTTGTGCCATATCAATAATCTAGATTTTTCTCACTGTAGAAACTCCCTGTCGCCCGCAGCTGCTCTGAGGTCCTGCAGGAGGTGGCTGGTGGCGGCGATGGCGAGGTTGGCGGCTTTGGTGTGAAGGTGACCGTGACTGGCTTTGAACGTGTCTTTGTTGATGCCGCCTTTTGGCTCGATGTCACTGGTCTGGTCCACGCCTCCTCCGTGACTGCATTTACCTGCAGGAATGAGAGAGGCTAGTTTAATTATCTAATTATATCTACTTTCTTCATATCTGAGCTGCAGCTGGAACAACTGTGGCTGTGGTTATTAGATTATCACGAATATGACCCATGTGTTGTGTGTGCGTGTATATGTGTGGGTGGCACGGTGGCTGAGTGGTTAGCACTCTTGCCTCTCAGCAAGAAGGTCCTGGGTTCGAATCCCGGTCGGACCAGGGCCTTTCTGAGTGGAGTTTGCATGTTCTCCCCGTGTCTGCGTAGGTTTCCTCCGGGTACTCCGGTTTCCCCTACCACTAAAAATATGTCCAATAGTTCTGGCATGCGCCTCCTGTACTGGCGACCGCTCCCATCTCTGTGTGGAGTGAGAGACAAATGCCCAAAAATTAACAATTGTAAACCGCTTTGAGACTCAGATCTGCAGTGAAAAGGCGGTATATAAATAAAAACTTACTTACTTACTTACTTTGTGAATGTGTGTGTGAATGTGTTACTGTGTGTGTAGGTATGTGTGCGTGCGTGTGATTAATTGTATACGTGTGTGTGTGTGTATGTGACCGTGTGATAGTGTGTGTATTATCCACTTTCACTTCCCAATGTGAACACAACATACAAAAACACACAAAACTAATCTCAGGGCTCAGTGGATTCATCAAAATGCACCGTCATTTAACTGTCTCTTTACTACTTCTCCATCTCTGTAGCTTCAAAACAACACCACAAAACACCCAGAACATATATATTATGTACTATTTGAAAAACACTTGAGACGCCGCTTGCTTCCTGTCAGACAGTTTCATGTTCGAACTTTCAACAGCTGAACGGAGGTAATAATAACTCAGAAAGCGACGTGTCTCAGTAAAAAAAAAAACATCCAAAAAAGGACCTGCAACTGTAGCCTTCAGTAAACAGTAAAGTAGGCCAAATAGTAGCAAATAGACATGGCTAGAAATAAAATATTGCCACAGACACCCGCGGATCAGATAGCATGTTGGCATCTGTTTGCTCTGACTATGAACTGTATGTAAAATATGTGAGAGTGATGCGGCTGCAGATAAACATCCTTTTGTTTTGTAAGTGACATTCTGTGTTTGTGTCTATTGTTTTTCTCTGTGCCGGGACTTGGCTGCTTTCAGTTTGTTCCTGAATTGAAAAAGTGCGTGTATGTCTACATCTGTGTGTGTGCGTGTGTATGAATGAGGATGTAGGCTGACACAGACCCGGAGGTTTGGTTGAGGCGATAGGAACGACCCCGAAGTATCCGGACGTCAGAACCTTCTCTGCGATGATGTCGTCCAGGATGTTGTTGGTGCAGTCGTCTCCGTTACAGTTACGACACGTGGCTCTGGTTTTAGCTGAAGAAAAAAAAAATATCATAACCGAAGTATGTGACAGTGGATTTTTGTAGATTGAGATTAAGATTAAGAGATCCTCTGTTCGTCCCACAGTGGGAAAATGTCAGTGTTGCATCACCGGTTACAGAACAATTGGAATGAGGAGCACACAACAGAAGATAAATGAACTAACTCTATACTAAAAAAAACGTCAACATGATATAAAAACAGGTATCTTTCTTTCTTTAACTTTAGAAAAATAAAAAAGCAAGAATAAAATGTCTAACTTTAGCATAATAAAGAAGCAGGTCTAAAATGTCTAACTTTAGCATAATAAAGAAGCAGGTAAAAAATCTCTAGCTTTAGCAACAAAAAAGAAGCAAGTACATAATTAGCATAATCTAGAAGCAACATGAGCAGAGTTAACATTGTCAAGAGAGAAATAACTGTTTGAGGAAACGCTAAATCTTCACCTGCTATGTTCCCGATGCTTGTGTCCGACTTTATCAGGTTTGCGTTGGGTTCTGTGTTTCCTATTTCCACCCAGTTACTGTGACTGTAGAAGTCCTGGACATCACAAATTAACACATGTTTATTGCACAAAGTGAGCAACACAATGAGGGAAAAACTCACACCACAATCAAATCAAACAAAACTCTATACTAAAATAAATAAAAAAATCTTGTAAAAAATAGTACGAGACTAAAAATAGTAAAAAAAATGAAAATAACAAAAAACCTTTCATTATGATCAGCAGTCTCATATTTAGATGAATAATGAATTTCAATAATCATGAGTCCATGGAACTGACCCTGGGAAGTCTACGCTGCAAACAATGATAAAATATGAGGTAATAATTGCTTGAACGAGTGGTTTTCATCTTTTTTGAGAACATTCTGACTGTCTAAAAACAGAATTTGCCAATGTAACCAAGTCTTATTTTAGTTGCTTTATTTTGTCATTCCAAGGGAGGCATTTCTTACATTTCGTCCTATTGGCAAATCTGGTTTTAAGGCCGTTAGAATGTGCCCGAATTAAAGTGATAGTCTGTAACTCTAAATGAATTACAAATTTTAGGAAATGTGTTAAATTGACCTCCTGGCTTTAAATGTTGATATAAAATAAGTCATTTTATTAATTCTATTATTACGGGCAAGTCCCGCCTTCCCTTCTCTTAGCTATAGCTCAGAATCCACGGTGCCGTCGAAGTTAACCAATCGAGTCATGCCAAGGGCTGTCAATCATCGGCACTGATGCTTGCAGCTGCGCGCATGCTCAGTTGTTTGTTTTTGTAGAACCTCCGAATCAAGCCTCTATTAGGCTCTGGAACTACATAAAAACTGAACAAAGAATTCTAAATATCTGCGCTGAGGTACTTATGTATATACTGAACCTATATCCATAATCAGATCCTCTGCAGATCAATCAATCAATCAATCAACGTTTATTTGTAGAGCGCCTTTCCTACACAAGGCAACGCAAAGCGCTTCACATCCCCTATCACATCAGATGTGTCCTACAATGTTCAATTCATGATAATAGCTTGTTCCGGATTTGTCGCGATTGCTTTTTTTGGGCATAAAAACATTATTTTTTTCATTAAAACGTTAACAAATAATTCTGAAAACCTTTGTGCATGTGTATTAATAATGTATATGTATAATGTGTTGGTTTTTTCAAATCAAGTACCTCTCTGTCTCTCTTTCTGACAAACTCCAGACAATCACTTTGAGATACATTTTCTCCAAATTTGTGGCATTTTTAACATGACATCACATTTTGCAGTGTATTCTCACTACTGGAGACAAATCGGTATCCTAAATAAATAGAGAGAAAGGTACTTTATTTATCCCCCGTAAGAGAAATACAGGTGTCCAGCAGCAGAAACACATTCATACAAACGAATAAGTACTGTACATAAAATATAATTGTTTATAACTAACTGAACCACTTTACCTGCAGTGGGTGTAAAATCACTCCCAGCTCTTGTCTCGCAGTGTTGTAGTTTCCCTCTTTGTTGCTGGCTTTGATGGACTGGATCCCTGCGGTGATGATGGCTCTTCCGCTGGTGAACTCCTCATCGTCAAAGTGGAAGCTGGAGTTCAGGGCGTGTTGGATGTCCACCCTGACGTTCCTGTATGTGACCAGGTACACGGCCAGACGGAAAGACTTGGACGATGACGAGGATTTGCAGGCCGAAGCCACGGAACTGAACGTGTAAGGCTGTGACTGTGGGAATGGAGGAGACATAGAGACATGTAAGAAAATGACCACTACCATTAATTACTACTACTATTAAACTAGAAAAAGTGAATGAGAATGAGAAAATACAGCCTCAGTCATGGATTTACAGTCTGAGTCCTGGACCTACAGCCTCAGTCCTGGACCTACAGCCTCCGACCTCGGTCTACAGCCTCAGTCCTGGACCTACAGCCTCCGACCTCGGTCTACAGCCTCAACCCTGGCTCTACAGCCTCCGACCTCGGTCTACATCCTCAGTCCTGGACCTACAGCCTCCGACCTCGGTCTACAGCCTCAACCCTGGCTCTACAGCCTCCGACCTCGGTCTACAGCCTCAGTCCTGGATCTACAGCCTCAGTCCTCGGTCTACAGCCTCAGTCCTGGACCTACAGCCTCCGACCTCGGTCTACAGCCTCAACCCTGGCTCTACAGCCTACAGTCCTGGATCTACAATCTCAGCCTCAGTCCTCGGTCTACAGCTTGCTCATCCATGGTGGCAGATGTCTCTCTACAGATGGGTCTCCCTGAGGGTTCTGACTTTTTTCTTTCTTTTGAGTCGTTTGTTGCAGATGCAGAAGGAGGATGTCACACTTTTACGGCTTTACGTGAGTATTTAGCTCTGACATGACTATTTTTAACACTTGAACTCCCCCGAGCAGTCAGTTTGACGGTGTTAAGTTTTGGAAGTGTAATTACTAAACATAGGTACAGTACATAGGCCTACCAAAATACCACATGAAATCCCACAGTAAATCTTTTAATCATATGTTAAAGGACCACAATGAAAACAGATGACATTTGGTTGTTTTAAGTCCTATCTCTTTTCTACATTGACCCAAATCTTACTCACAACTATTACACACAAAAACCCAGCAGACATCAAACTCACCGGTAAAGTAAAGTCCGTCCCCTCGGATTGGGCCAGATCGCGGCAGACCTGCAGCGCGGTGTTTAAAATGGCCATCTCTGTGATCTCCAGGTGGTTGAGGGCATCTCCCGGGAGGATGGCGAACCCTGCAGCTCCACGAACCAAGAGAACCAGAGACAAAACCGCACTCAGCGACACGGCCATCTTCCCTCGGTATTCTGCTGTGCACAGTTACATGATTAAATACCTTGTCCCGCCCTCTTCAGCTCTAAATGAGATGTGCTTTTGACAATACCATTAGTAAATAAAAAATAGTATTTTTTAATAGTGATTTTAAATGATTATAACGCAAACTAAAATATGGCTCTAACAGCTTCCATTGTAATTTAGCTCATTTGACAATAGTCTTAGAGTTTAGTTCAGAAAGGACAATGTGCAGTTACATTAAAAATATGGCTGAAGCTGTTAGGGATCTGGGGCCGTATTCCTAAAGATTCTTACTGCTAAAAGTTGCTCCTAGTGGCCAAACTCTAGAATCTTGACCAACTCTTTGAATTTCCCCTAAAAGTGAGGAGTAGCTCCTAGTTAAGATAAAAGCTATTCCTAAAAAATCCTAGCTCTTAAGAGTGCTCTTAAGGGGAGATCCCTTAAGAGTTGAGAGGTGGACTTTTAGCGACTTAAAAGTTCCCTAAGAGCACAAAATGGTGGACGGTGGAGACAGGAGAAATATTCTATACACTGGATGACAGTGAATCAGTGAAACGCTACAGAAACAAGCAGGAATCATGTTTGTGGTATATTTAAAAGTCAATCATGTGACCAGCTTCTTATTGGCTGGTCAGCAATAACACCTCATCCATTTTACCTTTGTTACACAAAAGTAAGTAGAAATGGTAAAAGTTGAAAGAGAGGAAAAAGTGGTCCTAAATTGTCACACATTCAGTACGAATGAATGAATACTTTATTTTGAGCCATGGCAAACAAGAAAAAAAAGGACAAAACAAACAAAACAACAACAGAATAGAAGTACAAATATACAGTTTTGTTTTATTAACAACAATCCAGCTCAAAAAGGAGTGGGAGAGGATAAGACTTTTAAGCTCCCTTGTACTTGATTTGTACATTGTATGTATAATATGTTTGTATTAATATTGTTTCCTTAATTCCTTATAAGTCTATACATATCACAGCCTTTACTGATCCTAACGTTATCATTATCATCATTTATCCATATAATATTTATAATAATAATTTTCTTTATCATGTATATTATATATAGAGTAATATTTAAATTATATGTATATATATATATATATATATATATATATATATATATAAAATTATAAGTGCTCATGATATATACGTATTATGTGTGATAAATTGGTGCTGAGCAAGCTCTGATGATGGTGTATAAGTCTAACTTTACTATTCACAGTATTTATGTACCATTGATATATCTGACTTTATAGCTTTTGGTTATTATTTACAATAACACAGTGTTCCTAAGATTAGATTCCATGATTGAGTTTGTCCATTTTAGGGCCCTTATTTTGCCTATTATCATCAAAAATATGTTTGTTCTAACTTTTAGGATCAACCAATCACAGCGTCTGAAATGATGACTCATACCTAGCAACGGGGTCGGCCACGCCTCCTCACTAAGATAAAAGTTGTTGTCAATTCCTTGCTCAGAGTTCTCTAAGAGTGTTCTGGAATAACTTTTAAGCTAAGACTCCTAGCTAGGAGTTTTTAGGTTAAGATAAGAGCTCTCTGAGAGGACTCTCAGAATCTTTAGGAATACGGCCCCTGGTTGTTCTGCTCCCCCTCCCTTTTGTTTTCTCTGCAGGGTGTGTGTGACAGGGGGCGTGGCTGGTTCATCTTCCAGTAGGAGGCACACCTGCATCAACTCATCATCAGCAGTGTTCAAGAGCCTGGCTTCCACTCCACTTCGCTGCCAGATTATTCTATGTCTCATGTCAGTACTTGTCAGTGGTTTTTGTCCAGCTCATGTTATTTTGTCCTTTTGACTCATAACCTTTACTTCTGTGTTCAGGTTCGCCTTTTTGACCTGCCAGCCTGCCTCCTGTCTTCACCGCCCAACCTTTTTTTTGTAAAATAAACTTTACTTTTTTCTGGAGCTACTCTCAGTGTCAGAGTCTGCTTTGGGGTCCAATATACAAACCCTAACAGAAGCAGATTTGACACCGTGTTACTTCCCGTCTGTAGTCCTTCACAAAACAATCGCTAAAATCTTTGACAGTTTGAAATGAAACTGCCGAAGATACCATCCATCCATTTCTTCCATTTCTGGGTCGGGGGGTGGCCAGGAATGCCACCCAGTACACATAGCACCCATCTGTCAGATTTATTTCACATTAACAACTTTCTTCACTCCTTGAACAAAGCAATGTATCTTTTTCTTTTTTGGATCTTCAAAGATGTAGGTATATTTTTTGAACCCCTATTTTTGTTTTATTATAGGCTTCTACCCCTATTTGTTGATGCAGTTTGATGGTGAAAGTGACTAAAACCAAGTGAGATGCCCAAAGAGGTTTAATTCCGTTCCCAGCTTAGATAAATGTTCCCAAATTTTAGAAGAGAACCTCCCTCTCCACTTTTTGAACAAAACTCTCTGGTCTTATTTGACGAGCACATATCTCCAGAATGATTGACAATCGGGAGGACCAATAGTCTTGAGGATCCACCCGGAAGTAAAAAAAATCTTCCTATATATCTTTGAAGTGGATGAAATGACTCATTGGGTGATGTAGCAAATGGTTGAATAAATCATAACAAAATTAATGGAATAAATGCCATTGTAGTAAATAAAAAAATAAACCAGACCGAGGGCATGTGATGAGTCAAACAAACCTGGCAACCAACAGCTGTGTGTGTTAGTCGCCTTTGATCCAAGCAGTACAAAGTTATCGATGCATTATTGAGTGAATGTAGAGGTTGCCTGAGGCCTAATAGTAAGTAAGTAAGTTTTTATTTATATACCGCCTTTTCACTGCAGATCTGAGTCTCAAAGCGGTTTACAATTGTTAATTTTTGGGCATTTGTCTCTCACTCCACACAGAGATGGGAGCCGGGTCGCCAGTACAGGAGGCGCATGCCAGAACTATTGGACATGTTTTTAGTGGTAGGGGAAACCGGAGTACCCGGAGGAAACCTACGCAGACACGGGGAGAACATGCAAACTCCACTCAGAGAGGCCCTGGTCCGACCGGGATTCGAACCCAGGACCTTCTTGCTGAGAGGCGAGAGTGCTATCCACTCAGCCATCGTGCCGCCCACCGTGCCGCTAATCACCGTTATGTGAGCCGTAAAATGTAATTAGTCCTAAAATCCTTAAGTCAGAAGAGTCCGCGTCACCGTACCTTTGTCTGGAGACGATGCAGTAAGACTATTGTGTCAACAGTTGTGTGCTGCCTCTCAGGGTGGAGCCGTCTGGACCAGTTTAACCTGTTACTCTGGGAATGCGGGTCAGATTCTGATAAAGACTAAAGCAATGCATGGGATTCTCTTTTTGATTTTGATTCATTTGATTTGTTTTGAGCTTTTAAACAGGAATCAAGTTTGGAATTTACAGCGATTACATAATATACACGACAGAAACATACAAACGTACATTCATTCATTCACACATTTAAGGGTTTTGTTTTCTCACTCATAACTTTCACACATTTTGGATTTTCTGATTTTTTCGGGTTCTAGACTGGTCCTGGTCTGGAACTTGTTCTAGACTGGTCCTGGACTGGTTTTACACTGGTCCTGGACTGGTTCTAGACTGGTCCTGGTCTGTTCTGGAACTGATTCCAGATCGGACCCGGACTGGTTTAGACTGGTCCTGGACTAGTTCTAGACTGGTTCTGGACTGGCTCTAGACTGGTCCTGGTCTGGAACTTGTTCTAGACCGGTTCTGGACTGGTTTTAGACTGGTTCTGGACTGGTTCTAGACTGGTCCTGGACTGATTCTAGGCTGGTCCTGGTCTGGTCTGGAACTTGTTCTAGACCGGGTCTGGACTGGTTTTAGAGCGGGCCTGGACTGGTTCTAGACTGGTCCTGGTCTGGTCTGGAATTTGTTCTAGACTGGTCCTGGACTGGTTCCGGGTCAGATGGTAAGAGCATACTTACATTCACTTGGTTAAGCTCAAGTAAAGGTCAAAACATTACTTTCAAAATAAAACTGGGGATTTCTTCTGAATTATCTTTTATTTTTACCGGAGCCGCCAAAATGACTGCTCTGGGGGTCTGGTAGTTTCAGAATCCTGCGAGTCCTACAGTGAGCAGGGAAAACAAGGCCAGTCATTGCTTTGAAATGAACTTATTTTCTGATCCCTCTCCAAATGACTCGATTGCTGTGTTTGTCTGTGTGGTCCTGTTTCGCGTATATCTGGGCAACATGAACTTGAATGTTTGACATATTAAAATTCTGGACTGATGAAAAGTGGATGTTTTCATAACAATGGAAAAAATACAATCTCGTATCAAGCAAAGCACCTGCCACGCCCACATTTGTTCCTTCAGCATAACCCAGGTGATATCTCGGCTTAAAGAGACAGAAGATCTTTATTATTGCTTTTTTATTTGGTTTAGGGACAAATCTAGGTAATACAGATGTTAACCCCTTAAGGATCACCTAATTTCGCCTGTTTCTTCTCGAATTATGATACCCAAATAGAAATGCTTACTGTGTGGACATCTTGTGTCTGCTCTTGTGTTATGAGACCTCATTTGAAAGGTAACACCTTCTAGTTTCTGTAAATGTATGTTACAGTTTGTTAGGAAGGACACAGTCTGCACTACACCTTCTCAAACATGAGTAAAAGTTAGTTTTTTTTGTCTCGAAAAAAAAAAAGGCAATTTCAAAAGGTTCTCCTGAAGACATACTTTATGATATGTTGTTCAAACTCACCAGAGCAGATGTCTGTGGTGTTGGCAACAACTGTATGAAATTTTAGACCTTTAGGTGAAACCATTTTGATGCTGGGGGCTTTTTTGTAACTAATGGGCACATTCGGCACAAGCGGTCCATTTTTGTGCCAATTGTGCCAAAGTGTTTTACATGCAAATTATCAACATTATTACACCAAAAATCAAATTATATCATTTTTTGGCTATTACTCTTGCTATAAATAGGATTTTTTTCCAGATATTGAAATGTTTACAGAAAAGCTATTATTTATATAGTTATAGCGCGT